TCCTCTCTTGCCTTTGACCTTCCAGGTTTTAACTGCATTCTTTGATGAACAGAAGTTCTTAATTTTAATGTAGTCTAATTTATCATCTTTTTTCCTAATACATTTTGTGGGGTGTTTAATGAAATAATTGCCTGCATATAGGTCAAGATGCTGTTCTTTCATATTATAATCTAGAAGTTTCATTGTTTTAATTTTCACCTTTAGACCTCTAACCCCTGTGGAATTAATTTTGTATGATGTAAGGTAAGGGTCAAGATTCTTTTTCCGGCCGGGCGTGGTGGCTCATGCCTGTAATCCTAGCTCTCTGGGAGGCGAGGGGCAGATTGCTCGAGGTCAGGAGTCGAAACCAGCCTGAGCAAGAGCGAGACCCGTCTCTATATATAATAGAAAGAAATTATCGGCCAACTAATATATACAAAAATTAGCGGCATGGTGTGCGAATGCCTGTAGTCCCAGCTACTTTGGAGGCTGAGGCAGGAGGATTGCTTGAGCCAGGAGTTTGAGGTTGCTGTGAGCTAGGCGTGACGCCACGGCACTCACTCTTGCCTGGGCAACAAAGTGAGACTCTGTCTCAAAAAAAAAAAAAAAAAAAAAGATTCTTTTTCCCCCCATATGGATATCAGTGACTCAGCACTATTTATTATTTGTCATTTTGTCTTTTTTTGAGACAAGGTCTCACTCTGTTGCCCAGGCTTGAGTATGGTGGTATGATCATAGCTCACTGCAGCCTGAAGTCCTGGGCTCAAGTGATCCTCCTGCCTCAGCATCCTGAGTAGCTAGGACTATAGGTGTGTGTCACCGCGTCTAGCTAATTTATTTTATTTTTTGTAGACATGGGGTTGTTCAGGCGGGTCCAAACTCCTGTCCTCAAATGATTCTTTCACCTCAGCATCCCAAAGCACTGGGATTATAGGCTTGAACCATAGTGCTTGGCCATGTTCAGCTTATTTTAGCTAAACATTTAGACATTTCCTGAGTGCCCCATGGCAGTGTCACTGTACTGGATATGCTGTGTCCACTGACTCTGAGCTTCTTAAGCTTTGTGTACCAGATTAAGGCCTTACGTGGACTCACAGGAAGACAGGAGCCCCCTAGTGCTTCCCTCCTGACCTGCCAACGAGTCTCTTCCATGCTCTGGACCGACTGACTAGAGGTGTTCTGACTAGAAATATGCATTGTCTCAAGCAGTGGCTTCTAGCTCAGTTGCTTCAAACTTGGGCAGTGTGTTTTAAATGTTGGTTGGCTTTCCATTGACGCCTGCAGACATTTGACCAGCATGTAGTCGATCTGTTGTACCAAGAATTATAGTGCAGAGATGCAATTCATGTTCTTGTTTCTGGGGAAGATGGGTTTCACATTTTTCCTCTTGGTATACTGAGAAACACTTCCCCCACCCACACCCACATACTTCCCCACACACCTCTGACAGCACACCCCCACATGCCCCCAGCCCACCTCCAACACATACACACATTCATATACCACAGCATACCCCTGCCCTTGCCTGCTCCCCTGCCTGCAACACACCCCCCTCCTCACACCTGCCCAACCTCACAACACCACTGCACGCTCCAGCGCCCTCCCCACACAACTCCCCACACACCCCAAACCCACCCACTCCCTGTATACCCCCCATACACCTCCACCCGCACCTACATACACTCCAACCCCCCTCACCAACACACACCCCAGAACACACAAGCACCTCCTCACACCTCCATATCCCCCTTCCTCTCCCCCACACAGTCTTCCTAAGCAACTGGGAGAGACTAGCTGTTTCTAAGCCAGGTGTTCAGAGATTGGGGGCGGAGGGCTACGGCAGATCTTCATGTGGCTCAGACGTGTCTAGCCCTCCTCCTTCCTCTGGGCCCTTCCCTGTGCCCTGGCTTCTCCCTGGTTTGGTTTCGGAGGGAAGCAACAGTCTGTATTCTTGAAAGAATTCCAAGAGGAAAAAGAGTTGCTGTGGCAACGCCTCCCTGTGGGCAGTAACATCCACACTCCAGAGCTGTTTTGATTGAGGGCTCTGAAGAGTTTTTCTGTCTAGGGAAAGTGTGAGTGGCTAGAGCAGAAAACACTTGTCCTTTCAAGGACAGCCCTCCACCCATTGTTTTCAGGGCAGGACACCCACTAGATTTCTTGCAAGTTAATTTGAATCCTAAAGAAAAGGCACCTGTGTTGACATCAGCTGGCAAAGGCAGGATTTTCCTGCCCTGGGTCCAGGAGTCCCTGACTTAGGCAGCTTCCATCTATGTAGGGAGTGAGAGTGAGTGCTAAGCTCTGTGGGGCGAGGAGGAGTCAGTTTCCCCGCACCTGGCTGTCATTTTTGTTATGCTTGTTAGTGCCTCTCTGCACACATCCTCTGCAGGAATGAGATCATTGAGGCTGGCCCTTGCCTCAAGCAAGGTCAGGCTGGGCCTCAGTGGAGAGAGGCTATACGGTTATAATACCTTACATATAGGGAGGAGGAGTACAAGAGCTGTTGGAGTCTTGTAGGGAAGGCTTGCAGCTGGGGATGGGGGTGGCCAATACTTGCATGCATGGACTTCATGGAGGAGAGAGCTTCTGCACCTAGTGTGGTTATACCTACCTTTATCTCATTGGTTGGCCTATGAGTCTTGCCCCCATTTGAGCTCTCTGCCCCAGGCTGCATAACTCACAAGACAGAGCCGGGCCTGGCAGAGGCACCAAGGAAATAGTTGAGGAGGGATGGAGTGGAGGATATGAAGGGGTGATAGCTATTGCACAGCACAGAAGAAGAAGAGGAGTTTTAGGCAGAGGAAGGCACAAGAGCAGAACAGGCAGGTGTGGGGATGGTCTGAATTTGGGAAGACTATCTGTGGAAGGCTCCTTCCTTGCCACCTTCCTGTTCCCCTGCACACTATGGCTAGCCTTTTCTCACTTGGACTCATGTTCTCTGCATGCATGTAGGATCTGCCCTTGTAAACTGTGGTTAGCTTGAGGGCAAGGCTCGGTCTTCCTCTGGATGACACTGCTGGCTGCCTGGGGTGAACTGAAGGAAAGGATGAGGCATGAATGCAGGGATCTGTTATGTGACCCTTTTGCAGAAAGTGGAGGGCATCACTTGGGCAGTGGAATTTGTAGGGCCTCATCCTGAAGACACAGGCAAGAGTGTCAGGTTCCACTGTCATCACCATGGTTGGTGCCTACTGATTGCAGACTTATTTTTGGCCAGCTGTAGTGCAGAGCTGTCACATACATTGTCTACTTTTGTGTGTGTGTGTGTGATACAGTTTTACTTTGTCACCCCAGGTAGAGTACAGTGGCATTATCATAGCTCACTGCAACCTCAAACTCCTGGGCTCAAGTGATCCTCCTGCTTCAGCCTCCCAAGTAGCTGGGACTGTAGGAACATACCATGGACATCTGGCTAATTTTTCTATTTTTTTGTAGAGACAGGGTCTCACTCTTGCTCAAGCTGGCCTTGAACTCTTGAGCTCAAGCTCTCCTCCCACCTCAGCCTCCCAGATTGCTAGGATTACAGGTGCAAGCTGCTGTGCCTGGCCACATTTTCTAATTTAATGCCATTTTGTAGTTGAAGAAACTGCAGTTCTGAGAAGCTAAAGAACTTATGCAGGGTCCCACAGCCCACAGTTGTCAGAGCTGGTGGGTTGATTCCAGGTGTGGTTCAGCTTTCTCAACCTTTCAGCTGAGTATATGGTTAAAAAAAAAATGCTTTGCATCCAAAGGAAGTGTGTGTAGGTGAGGATTATAAACCTTGTGTAAGCAATATTTTCCCCCACAAATAAATGTGCCAGTTCTGACTTGTAGTGTAAATTTGGTTTTAATTAGGATTTTATCACTTAGGATTAGATCACACCAGAAGGGAGACAACTGTCTTACCTTTACTTCTCCTCAGATTGTGACACTCTGAGAAGCAGCTGATAAGAGGTTAAAATAGCTTCTAGTCTCCTAGGAGCTTCAGCACATTTTGTTGCTGTGTAAACCTGTGACTTGCCTGGAAATTGACTTGTGAAGAATTTTGCCTTTCACACTTGGGTGCCTGATGTTGGGCCCGGTACATTTCATTCTCAGCTCTGTGTTGGGATGGAAGGAATGGAAAGATGGCCCCTAGGCCAGGTAAGGGCCTTGGCTGGCTTGCATTAGCGACTGGCCATTGTGGTAGTCAGGAGACTTGAGGAAGACGCTGGGACCAAGCTCACAGACCACTTAACATCCTGAGTCCTATTTTCTCCATTTGCAGAGTGGGCATCAGAACCTCTGTCCTGCGCGCATCCCAGGTTCTCCCTGTGGATCAGATGAGCTATGGAACGTAAGACAACTTTGAGCCCTATAAGGTGCTGCGTGCACTTTATTATTAGGTTATTGCTATAAATGGCCATGTGTAGCCAAGACAGTTGCAAGCACCAGAACCATCCATTCTGGCTGATTTTAGAAGAAAACAAAGCGTTTGTTTGTTCGTTATTTTAAAAAGAGAGCCTGCCTCAGAGAGCCAGAAAGAAGTCCAACACAAGGAAATTAAAAAATGGCTCAATGAGGAAACCACTGTTGACTTCAAAGTACACTGCAGCTTGCTCCCCTCCTCTGTGCCCTGGAATCAATCTTGAATCAGTCTCATTGCAGCTTCCCCAGCCCGGGTCACCACTCATCGTTCTGAATCTTTTGTGGATATATTAGCAGGGCCAGAATCACCTTCCTGCTTCAAGGTAGGCTAGGAAAGTGAGTGGGGTGCTTGGGGCCTCTGTGCTGTGGAGCGGGTCTTCCTCCGGCAAGGCTCAAGGTGGAGCCTTCCCAAGTGAAGGGAGGGGCTCAAGCACTGGGCAGCCCATAGGATGACTTGGGAGCTCAGGCTCTGGTCACTTTCCTCCATTGCTCCAGGCACTGTGGTACATCGGACAGACACTTGAGGTCCAGAGACCTGAGATCTAGCCCTAGCTTTTGCCCTTTTCTTCCTGCACGCTTTACCTGGATCTCTTGTGGGCCTCACGATGTTTAGGTTGTATGAATGACTTGTGTTTCTTCTCATCCTGCCTGCTTTGTGTCCAGAGCCCAGCCTGGTGACCATGGTAGCCTTCAGGCAGCTGGATGTAGCCTCCTGCAGGTCACTTCCTCTCCGGGGTCAACCTGTTGAAGAGGAGGGATGTGGTCTGACTAAGAGGCTGCTCACCTGGGCCACATGTTAGAGGCATGACCTGGCAGTGTGTGGGCTCTTTGAACATTCGGATTCCCAGGTCTTACCCTGGAAGATTCTGATTTTTGGTAGGTGCTATTTATGCAACACATTCCTTGGGCTGCTGGATCTGGTTCATCCTGCTGGATGAGATGTGAGACCTTTGCAGTACTACAGATTTGTGGTTTCTTATATTTCTCATTTGGTCTAAATGGACATGGTCATAGTTGTTTTGTTTTGTTTTGTTTTGTTTTTTGACAGCACAAACTACTTCAGTACATGGTCATACCTCTCTGGCTTTTGTGCAGAAAGTACACCTAAACTTTGGGGCTATTTATTTGAAAGCGTTTTGAAAGCATGATGCAGTCAGTTTAAATGCTGGCCCATCTTTTATTAGCCATGAGCCATCGGTTAAGTCCCTGAGTTGTTCTGAACTTGGTCATGGGATGGGATGATAATACCTGATCCTAAGGTAGTTGTAGGGGCCACAGGCCATGGTGTGCACAGAGTGAAGTGTGAGTAGATGTGCAAGCACTACCTAGCACTGTGCAGCTGGAAGGGGCTGTCCCTCCAGACATACTCAGAGGCACCTGCCCTTTGCTATCCTTGGGGTAAGAAGGTGGCTCTCCTAACCCACATCTGGCTTGTTTTTTCAGTGGTCTCAACCAGTGACCCTTAGTCTTTGCTTTCTGGCCTTTGCTAAGTGCTCATTATAAATTGTACTGTATTCCCATTGTTACCACCTCGCTACCTGTCCTCTGGCTTCTAATGCTTGAGAGATGGTCTGTAGCCCATCAGGCAAGCTGGTCCCACTGCACTAGTGCCCTTTTATGTCACGACTCTGTCCCTGCCTGGACACCGGCAGGGTGTGGCCTCACCACACTCACTCCTTCCAGGGACCCCAGCCACCTGCCCTCTCAGCATGGGCCTTCCCTCCCTGGACAGCCTACTTCTCTGGCCTCCCAGGTGGGCTCAAATCCCACTGGCACTCAGGCTTTGGACATGTTGTAAGGCGATTGTCCGTAATTACCGTTCACTATCTACTTCCCCGCTTCACTTGTCCCTGCCCTCCCTGAGGGCAGTGATCTTGCCTTAGCACCTTTTTGTCTGCCAGATGACAAAACTCAGAGACACAGTGACAGGGATGTGGATTTGGAAGTTGGCTGGGCTGAGATTTTCCTCAGGGAAAAATAGACTTGCCCTTGGGGACAAGCCCAGGAGCTTATTTAGAAGTCTGCAGGCTTTTAAAAGTTTGGTGACATCAGCAAGATGAACTTCACTGGGTGATTGTGAAGTTGGACAATTAGGTCTCCACAGTCTATTTTTCAGATGTGGACTAGCAGTGCTTTGACAGCTATCCACATTGGAAACAAACTGGGCTTTTTAGCTGGTCACAGGCTTTGAATAGCCAGTGGTGTCATGCGGATTCCAGGAACCCTGATGTCCCAGCTGTGGTGTTGGCTGTCTGTTGGCTGGGAAATACCCATTTCTTTGATAAATGGTGGCTGTTACTATATCCTGTGACCCATCCCATTTCAAGAATAAATCTACACACGTGAAAGGTCATAGATGCTGTTGAGGTTGGTGCATCTGTTGCCAGGCACGAGTGAAGGCTGTTGGTGGCTGTCAGGGACCCGGAGTTGGTGTACGCAGGACCACGTGGCTAGGTGTGTCTGGGAGGCAAAAGGGTATATCATTTGCAGGGCAACCCACTGAGGTTTTCTGGTCCTCGCTTGCTGTTTCCAGCAGTTCCAAGGATGGTGAACACACAGTAGCTGGGCTCGCTCCTCCTCCCTCCTGCACACAGCCTCAGAATCCCATCCACCAACAGCAGTTCGTGGAGAAAGGTCACGCTCTTTTGGTCTTCACGCCTCACACCTCTGGGGAGGGTCAGGTACCAGCTGCATGTTCTCAGGATCAGAGATTCTGGGTGCTTGTTCCAGTCCCTAGAACTGACCAGCTGGGCCCCTGTGCCTTATGACTCTGGGTGTCCACTATGAGGCGATGGGAAGGGGGTTCCAGGCAGCCTCCCAGTGTCACGTGAGGCTGTCCCACACCAGGGCAGGGTCTTCCCAGTTGCATGGACGTATTGTTTGCCTTGTGGTTGGCTCACTCCTGCTGCAGTTGTGAGCTTAGCATGTGAGGAAGTCCCGGTGGTTGTGAGTTCTGCTTTGTGGTGGAGACTTTTCCCCCCTCCAAGAAAAGGGAAATGGTTGGGGCGGGGTGAGAGGGTGGGGAGGTGACTTCGTTGTTCACCGTCAGTTAGTTTCTTAACTGAAATTTTTAGCCCTAAATAATGGATATGTTTATCCTGATTTAAGGGGACTTGGCTTGCATTGTGGCTGCGGGGTTTGCTGCTGTGCTTAGTCCCAGGCTGCAGCGGACGCTGTATGTACCGGCCTCGGTCTGCCCTCTTCTCGTGCCCCAGCAAAGCTGGTCCTTTTTTTGTTAAGCTTGAGAAAGGGTGTGAGACATTGACTGGGCTGTGTTGGGCATGAGCCACAGTTTCCCATTGAGCCAGTCGAAGGTTAGAAGAATCTGTTAAGGGTATGAGTCAAGACAGTGAGCCTCAGGCAGCTGGGTTCCTCTGGTTGCTTTTTCTTATTATTAAGTCAGCGTAACAACAGAATTAAAGAAGATGGAAAAAATGTTACCCACAGTCATGTGTGAGCCTGTGAAGTCTTTGGCCATTTGTACGTGTAGTGTTGCTGTGGTTGCAGTCATGGTATGTAGTGTGGACCTTGCTCCCTCACATTCCTGTGTGTGTCGCACAGTGCTGCCCATCATGGCACTGTTTTAATGGCACCTCTGGCCTGTCAGTTGACCAGCTGGCTTGCCTATCTGTGCCCAGCCACTTAGACTTTCCTCTCAGTTCCAGTTCTCTTATGAGAAACACAGCTCTTTTTTTTTTTTTTTTTGAGACCTGGGCTAGAATGTAGTGGTGTCATCGTAGCTCACTGCAACCTCAAACTCCTGGGCTCAAGTGATCTTCCTGCCTCAGCTTCCCGAGTAGCTAGGACTACAGGCATACCCACACCAGCCAATTTTTCTATCTTTTGTAGAGATAGGGTCTTTCTCTTGCTCAGTTAGGTTTTTGAACTCCTGGCCTCAAGCAATCCTCCCACCTTGGCCTCTCAAAGTGCTAGGATCACAGGCGGCATCGCTCTTTTATTTCATTATGATGCCTTTCAGAATTGGAGTTCCTGGCCAAGAAATGGCTGTATCTGGGGCTTCTGATGGTTTGATCTAATCTCTCTGAAGTGACAAAAAAAACCCTGTAATATGATGTAGAGGTGCTTTAGACACCAGTGAGACCACTTGTGTGTGCGGAATGTGGACAGGAGTGGGGCCAGAGCAGAGGGCAGTGGTTCTAGAGGGGACCAGCCTAGGTTTGAAGCCCACCCTACCGTTTGGGTCCTGGCAACATCACCTGTGTTACTCTGAGAGGTTACTTTTTCTTTTCTTTCTTTTTTCTTTGCTTTTCTTTCTTTCTTTTTTTTTTTTTCACAGATTGACAGTTTTCATAGTGGCTGGGTTACTTAAATGCAGGGGGCCTCTGATTTTCTCATCCATGAAAGCAGTGCTGACCTTATTAGAGTTTTATAGTGATTGAATAATAATGATTATATTCAATATCAATTCTATTCAATTAATTGAGTAATTATTTGCTTGGCATACTGTTACCTATTAATAGAAATGACAGCTGTTATTATAGGAAATGATGAATAATATTTGGGTATGGCCCTTCCCAGAGCTCGCTCTCTTTCTTCTTCTCCTCTTCTCTCCTCTCCATGTAGGGTCTTCCTCTGTTACCTAGGCTGGAGTGCTGTGGAGTGCTCACAGCTCACTGCAGCCTCTAACTCCTAGCCTCAAGCAATCCTCCTTGCTCAGCCTCCTGAGTAGCTGGAGCTACTAGTGTGTGCCAGCACATCCAGCTGCTTTAATAATTTGTAGAGATGGGGTCTCACTGTGTTGCCCAGGCTGCTGTTGAACTCCTGGGCTTAAGCAGTCCTTCCAAAGTACGGGGATTACAGTCATGAGCCACTACACTCAGCAGCTCACTTTCTAATGAGAAATCTTCCAATTTCATGGAACCTAGTTAAATTTGATCCTTACCATACTCCCCCCAAATGGGAAGGGTTGGGATTTTTGCCCTCATTTTGTATGAGAGAAGCAGAGGGTCAGGTAGTTGTTGGAAGGGAGGATAAAATAGACAACTAAGGGACAAACAAGCAGATGTATGTGGTAGAAAGAACTGAGGTGATTATTTGTGTCCCCAAACTGGCTTGAGCTCTGTCCCATGGAAAGAATGTTGGATCTGACATGCACAGACCTGACTTGGGTATAGCCCAGCCTCAGTTCTTGCATCCGTGCAGCAAGGCTAGTGATACCTAATACCTGGGCTCTGTTGGGACACTCAGACATGATGATGAAGCTCCACCTGTGAGATGGGTAGTTCCTGTGTGTCACCTGCCTCCCCTGGTAGTTCATTCATTATTGGTCCAGCTGCTGATATGTGCCAAGTGCTGGGGAACAGTGATGGACAAAGCCTCTCAGAGCTTCCAGTCTAGCAGAGAAGACAAATGTCAAACAAAATCTTGCGTAGGCAAGTCTAGGTAAAAATCATGTGTTTGGGATGGTTATCATTAGAAGGTCTGGGAAGAACACTTTTCTGCTAAAAATGGGCATAATCTTCAGCCCACATAGCTAGGGGAAAGTGCTGAAGCCCACCAGTCTTTCAGCTGCTGTGGAGTTTTATAGTGGATGTAGATAGAATTAAGGATTCTGTAGGGAAGACTCAGAAATGCAGTGCCTGTTCTTCCAGTTGGGGGCCTCTTCTCACTCACCCCTGATGGAATCAGATGGGTCATTCTTAATTTGAACCTAATTTTTAAAAAATTTTTTTTATTGTTAATTGACAGATAATAATGGTGTATATTTATAGGGTACAATGTGATGTTTTGATATGTATACAACATAGAAGGATTAAATCAAGCTAATTAACATATTTATCTCCTCACTCATTTATTTTTTTGTGATGAGAACATTTAAAATCTCTTTAAGCAATTTTGAAATATATATTATTAACTATAATCTCCATGCTGTGCAATAGCTCTCTATAACTCATTCCTCTTGTCTAACTGGAACTTTGTGTCCTTTGACCAACATCTTCCCTTTCCCTACCCCCACTCCCAACTCCTAGTAACTGATATTCTACTCTCTGCTTCTATGAATTTGAGTTTTAGATTCCACGCATAAGTGAGATCATGCAATATTTATCTTTCTGAGCTTGGCTTATGTCACTTAGCATAATGCTCTCCAGATTCACCCATGTTGTTGTAAATGACAGGATTTCCTTCTTTTTAAATGCCAAATAGTATTCCATTGTGTATATATACCACATTTTCTTTACCTATTCTTTCTTTGATGGGCACTTAGATTGTTTCCAGTTGAGCTTCATTTTTAAAAATTAAGTTTGTCATCTACAGAAACTTGGCCAAAAAAAGCAGCACTATCTGAATGGAATAATACGTTCCACTCACATGAATGTAACTACATGTAAAAAATGACAGGTGTAGCTCAGTTTCTCTGCTGGTTGGTCTAACAGTAATGGGCCTCCCATCTCCCGGTATGTAGATCTAGGCCCTGGGTCCTAGGTCTGGGGTATTTGTTAAGTATGTTTTGGCTCCCAGAACTCAAGTGGCTCTCTGCTTTCTTGGGTTTTCTTGAGTCGGGGAGGGGGGCGGGGCAGGACACAGAGCCTCAGAGAGGTCCTGCAGTTTGCCCACAGTCCCTGCGCTGGAAAGCAGTGTGTCGTGATTTACCCACCACCTGCCCAGTCCAGGCCTGCAGCCTGGGCTTCCTCCATACCACAGCGCCCCCTACAGGGAGGGCCCTGGTGGGAATTTGGAGCATGACCTAGCTTCCCAGAGGAACTGGTCCAGCCTGGCTCCTTGAGGGGTGTGTGGGGAAGCTGATGTTACCCTGCCCTCTGTGTGACCTTCCCAGGGGTTACTTCCTGCTGGGCCCTGTGGAGGGGGTGAAGCCCCAGGGCAGTGGGAGGGGCCCTGTCTAGCCTGGTTGTTCCTCTTCTGCCCTTCCCCCTCCACTCCCCGCCCCACTCCTACTCATTGTTTAAGGTACAGGGCAGGTGACACTTCCCTTGGAGAGCCTCCCAGACACCTCATGTGCCCTCCCCTGCCATGCTGCTGACACCTTCCCTTTCCCCTCTGAATCACCACCCCTTGAGAATCTGAAGAGCTCTAGGTTCTTACTCCAGAAAGATGCACCTTCTCACACCTGGCCTGTGTTTATGTCTGGTCATTGACCTCTGGAATCTGTCCATGGACCCAGGATAAGAATCCCCCCACCCTACTCTGTTAACACTAGGTGCCTACTTATTCCTTTTTCTCCTCAGTACCCAGCATGGGGTATCTTGCACAGTTAATAATTGTTGATGATAAAGAAAATCTCCTGGAGGAATTGTCTACCACCTCCTTTGAGCACCTGTGGCTGATTTCTCAATGCACTTATGACGAGAATAGGACTAGGTTTGGAGCCAGATCCCCATACTCCTCTACACGTGCAGGACATCAGTAGTCACCTGGGGCAAGGCCGTGTGGTGGACCTGGCAAGGAGC